GGTGGTGGTGCTGGTGATAGTGGTGGTAGTGCTGGTGATAGTGGTGGTGGTGCTGGTGATAGTGGTGGTGGTGCTGGTGATGGCCACTTCATATTCCCAGGATATCAAGTTTTGGTTCTTGCTGATCTATCTGGCTGTTTAGTCTCCGGACGGTTACTAATCATATATATTTTTTGTACACGCATACAATTAGTTTCCAGGAGTGATTAGCTTTGTTCAGATACCTTGTGTTTGCTTACTAAGTTGTTTAGTTCATTGCTGTGTCTGTGTGTGTGTGTGTGTGTGCTTGAATGTATCGTGTTTATTTAAATTTCAGTTCTGTGTGTGTTTGGATGTGTTTTCATATGTCTTCTGTGTGTTTGGATGCATCGTGTTTATTTAAGTTTCAGTTGTGTGTGTGTTTGGATGTGTTTTCTTATGCCTTCTGTGTGTTTGGATGTATCGTGTTTATATGAGTTTCAGTTCTGTGTGTGTTTGGATGGGTGGTGTTTAAGTTTCAGTCTGTGTGTGTTTTCTTATTTCTTCTGTGTGTTTGGATGTATCGTGTTTATTTAAGTTTCAGTTCTATGTGTGTTTGGATGTGTTTTTCTTATTCCTCTGTGTTTGGATGACATCGTTTCATTTAAGTTTAGTGTGGTGTTGTGTTTGGATGTGTTTTCTTATTTCTTCTGTGTTTGGATGATCGTTCATTTAAGTTTCAGTTCTATGTGTGTTTGGATGTGTTTTCTTATTTCCTCTGTGTTTGGATGCATCGTCTTCATTTAAGTTTCAGTTCTGTGTGTGTTTGGATGTATCGTGTTTAAGTTTCAGTTCTGTATGTGTTTTCTTATTTCTTCTGGTGTTTGGATGCATCGTGTTTATTTAGGTTTCAGTTCTATGTGTGTTTGGATGTGTTTTCTTATTTCTTCTGTGTGTTTGGATGTATCTTGTCCACTTACCCTGGCTGTTTAACTCGTCTGTGTCTGTGTGTGTTATACAGTACGGATGACATATCTATTTGTTCTATTATCCTGGGAATAATACGGATGGTATTTCTTACCATATGTTGTATTTCCCTGGTAATAATACGGAAGATATATCTAGCAATGTCTTGTATGATGTATTATCCTCGGAATAGTGAGGATGATATATATCTAACAACGTGTTGTATTATCCTAAGAATAGTGCGGATGATATATCTAGCAATATGCAGTATTATCCTGATAAATAATGCGGATGATATATCGAACAATGTGTTGTATTATGCTGATAAATAATGCGGATGATATATTTAAGAATGTGTTGTATTATCCTGGGGTGTTGAAGAATGATACAGTTCCCTCGAATGAGAACGATATTCCGCAAACGGAAAATCTCATTCTACTCGGAGGCATCTACACACAAATTATAATTTGTGTGCAGATGTTTGAGAGCGTTTTTCTGTCTGTTTCCCCTGTCTGTTTCCCCTGTCTGTTTCCCCTGTCTGTTTCCTTGCGTTGAGAAAGCAAGAGAGAGATATGAAACAGTAAATGGGATTCTGAAAGATAAACTACATGCAGCATCGAAGGTAACCTTGAATAATTCGTCACATAATCATGAACAATTATTATAATCAAGGGGGAGCGCTAAACCCATAGAATTATGCAGCGCCTGTGGGGGGGGGTGATGTTGAAGGTATTCAAGATTAATTCAGGGAACTAGAGCACAGATCCAATTCCCTAGATCAAGAGCCCCTCACCACCGTCAAGGAACCTTCCTTGAGGTGCATCATGGACAATACACGAAGAATCCGCACATAAGAGAGAGGAGCTTACGACGACGTTTCAGTCCGACTTAGACCAGTTAGAGTCACACTGACACAAGAGTGAGGGAGCCAGTATATATAGGCGAGGGGGGATATCGTCGGTATCAATACCAGTCACGGTATTGTGCTTTTTGTTCTTCGTCATGGATAAAAAAAGTAAGACCTATAATTTGCGATAACTGTGGAAAAACAAACAACAGGAATATTGCTTCAATAACCAGCACAGTTTTCAGCTCTGTTGAAGATTGAGACACTTGTGCGACATTTGTTAATATTTATTGAGGAAACGCTTCGCCAGTCAGTGACTTCTTCAGTCCAATACAGAGAAGAACAGTGGAAGTTGAGGGAGAAATTTGAGGTAATCAGTCCCTCAGTCGATGTGCTCACTCCATCTCAAGACTGATAGACTTAACACATCGACTCCAGACTGAGGGACTGATTACTTCAAACTTCTCATCTTCCACCGTTCTTCTCTGTGTTAGACTGAAGAAGTCCATTCTTCAACTTGTTGGGTTGTCTAAACCGCTACGTCACAGCTCTATATGTACAGCTGAGCAAAATACCAACATTACCAGGCCGCCAAATTTCCTATTTTTATATCTTGAATTTGACAAATTAAATCTAAAACAAATGGCAGCCTTGACATATTAAGATACTCTGAGAAGCCGAACATTAACAAATCAAACAGACCAGACGAACTGCCTGCTAAAATTATAATAAAATGTCGATAACAAATCGCGTACACATTAAGGGAAATGCTTAATAAAGTATTAGAAGAAGGCAAGGTCCGAACGACTGGAAAATGCCAACTGTTACCCCAACCTTCAAAAAGGGAGTAAACGCCTCCGTGGCCTGGTCCATTACCAGGCCTCGCCGTGGATCAAAGCCTGATCAGCAAGACACTGAATGCCAACAGCATTTTGTGTTCTCAGACAGTCACTCATCCAAGTACTAACAGCATTTTGTGTTCTCAGGCAGTCACTCATCCAAGTACTAACCAAATCCAACTCTGCTTAGCTTCGCTGATGGGACGGGAAGCAGTGCAGTCAACGTGGTATGTACCCTCAACTATCGTCCCATCAGAGAAACATTTTCTTTTGTAAACAAGAGACAAGATTGTCAATTTTCTGGAACATAATTCAATAACCGAAAATCAACATTGATATCGCAATAGAAGATCATGCCTGACAAACCGAAAATTCTTTAATTGTATGTATTAATAACCTGGCCAGAAAAAGTCCCAACAGACACAGCATATATCTGTATTTGCAAAAGTCATTCTATAAAGCACCTTATCCAAGCTTGTACATAGTAAGGTATACCATAACGGCAAGATGAAGAATTAGATACATGTTGATAAATTAGACACATGTGCAACTCTTGGGTATCTTTATTGAGGAAACGTTTCGCCACACAGTGGCTTCATCAGTCCATACATAGGAGAAACTTGAAGAACAGGAGGAGAATGAGGTAATCAGTCCCTCAACCTTGAGTCGATGTGTTCAGTCCATCAATCTTGAGTAGAATACGGCAGATGAGCGGAGAAGCAGCTTATAAACCGTATGGCAGGAGAGGTGCAGCAGTCATAGGTGGTGTTACATTTGTTCAATGTGGAAGTAGGTTGTGCCCAAGAATTAGGCAAGCGAAGAATTCCTAAGTATTAAGATCCCAAGAAGTTGCAGTGTCTGACAGGTTTGTAGATGAATGGTTCAGAGAACCATTCATCTACAATGGATGAATGGTTCAGAGAACCATTCATCTACAAACCTGTCAGACACTGCAACTTCTTGGGATCTTAATACTTAGGAATTCTTCGCTTGCATAATTTTTGGGCACAACCTACTTCCACACTGAACAAATGTAACACCACCTATGACTGCTGCACCTCTCCTGCCATACGGTTTATAAGCTGCTTCTCCGCTCATCTGCCGTATTCTACTCAAGATTGATGGACTGAACACATCGACTCAAGGTTGAGGGACTGATTACCTCATTCTCCTCCTGTTCTTCAAGTTTCTCCTATGTATGGACTGATGAAGCCACTGTGTGGCGAAACGTTTCCTCAATAAAGATACCCAAGAGTTGCACATGTGTCTAATTTATCAACATGTCGGTTCTCTGAACCATTCATCTACAAATTAGATACATGTGCAACATCTGGGAATCTTGATTAGGACATAATGGGAAGACAGTAGAACTGTATACAGAAGATGAGGTAATCAGTCCCTCAGTCTTGGACTTAGTACATATAGAAATAAAGATTATTATTAAGTATACAGGCGTAGCTAACATCAGTGATATACTACTGTATAGAAAGCCCCTTATTACACGAAGCATTTCGGGCAAATTAGGTCAATTTTGTCCCCACGATGAGACCCACACCAGTCAACTAACACCCAGGTACCTACTTTACTGATAGGTGAACAGGGACAGCAGGTGTCTTAAGGAAACTCGTCCTAATGTTTCAACGCGTACCGGGAATCGAACCAGGGACTTCAGTGTGTGAGCTGAATGCGCTAGCAATTGAAGTGTCTTCACGATTTCGATACTTGTCACCAACTCCAAGGCTGACGGACTGATTACCTCATCTTTTGTGTATAGTTCTACTGTCTTCCAATTACAGCATAAGAACAGAAGAACACTGCAGCAGGCCTACTGGCCCATACTAGGCAGGTCTTTCTCAAACCCAAACCCACTAAATAAAAAATATTTACCCAACCCAATAAAGATACCCAGATGTTGCACATGTGTCTAATTCCTCACTGAAGATTCCTGACACCAAAATAAAAGGTCAGACACCACACAAGGACTATCATTTGACTATGAGGCACCCACGGTATAATAATAGTAATACTGGAAGAAGAGAAAGTGTTGATGGTAGTCACAGCAATTGTAACCCGTTCAGTTTTCAACTATCCCGTAAATGTTCACTGATATTTTTCTTATTATGTCTTTTATCTCTGTCCAGCCAGCAAGCTGGAAGTGAAGGGTGGGGAGAGAGCCTTCTGCTCTATCCTAATCTCAACTATCAAGAGAAAAACTAAAGGTCGCTAGGATGTTCTTTATCTTTCACAGAACATATGGACCGTAGGGTGTCCTTTTCTCTCTCTCTCTCTCTCTCTCTCTCTCTCTCTAACAACTTTAGTAAAATTTATATTGGCTCCCCGATCCAACATCTACCTCCTTGTTCTCCCTCATTCTCTCTCTCTTTCCACAG